CATGGTAACAGAAGGTAAGCCCAAAGTAAAAGACTTCCTATTGTTATTCTGTATTTTTAACTTGTTTCTGGCCTTATGCTTAGCCGCAAGGTATGTTTATCATAGACCTTTGTTAGCAAGATTTGTTCACAATAGTGTCTACTTCTAAGGCTGGGAGACTCTGACTTGGGTTTCCATGGCTGAACAGGGATTCAAATTCTTATCTCCTAGGACCTGATTCCATGAGCAATGGGAAAGCAGGGGAAAGTGGAGAACCATCTTACCCCATTCTCTCCCATCTTTCTCCATCTTCTGGGATGGCCAGCCATTCCAAGTCCTTTTTGCAACGAGGTCTGTCTTTTCCCTGCTTTCTGTCACTTTCTACCACTCCTGAAGATGGCTTTAGGACTCCATTTCCATTCACTGCAGAAACTGAGCTCCACTGAGTCCCACCAGAGGTGCCCTTATGTCATGTAATGGCCTCCATGGGACTCCCATGAGGCTCTGTTTCTGAAGCACATGGAAATGGAGTAACAAAACCATGGGATGAAGTCCCTAGTGTCTTAGGCCCCTTCTATATTTCCATATAAAATCCACATTTCCTTCTATCAACTGGATTATATGGTAGTATAGACTCAGATAATCCAGTTCAAAGCAGATAATGTGGATTATCTGATTTGATAATCTGGATTATATGGCAGTGAAGAAGGCCTTAGTCTAACACAACACCATATTGGCGCCTCTAAAGATTACTGTCATATAAATTAATACCACCTTCCATCTCCATTTCAGTTCATTCTCTTTCTGTTTTTCATTAACTCAGTTGTTATGTATTAAGGTAGTGCAAAATTGTTAGTCCTAATAAGTCAGATCAAATTCATTAAATGCATACTAATGACGTGATGTCGCACACAAAGGCATGGCCCACACAAAAAACTTAAGAATCAAAATTTACTCAATACTTTTTCATTTTAATTTTATAAACCTCAAAATTTTGCAAACCACTAAAGCCTCCCAAAGTCAGTTTCATTTTCAGCACAAGCAAGCATTTTCAGCACAGTTTCATTTTCAGCACAATCAAGCCAAGCCAAAAAAGGCTGTCATTTTTCTTTAAATTAATGGCCTCTCACCATTAGGAGAGGGAAGCAGCAGGAAGAAAGCAGAGTTCACTGGAAAAGAGAAAAAGCACAAAATTCTGGGTAATGTAGTTTGGAAAGGTGAGGAGCCCTATGCCAGAGAATTTAGAAGGCCCTGCCCTCGTACATTACTCAGAATTCTGCCCAGCATCAGAAAGCCCCAATCAGAATAGGGGAGATATTTGTCCCTCTGTGGCAACAGCCAGCCAGGGTGCAAATAAATTGTTGAATCTGCAAAGAGGAGGACTGACTGATACATCTAGTAAATAAATCTCTGTGCTGGGTTGGGAAAAAATTCCTATATGGAAGTTTTATTGGTTAATGTAAGAGACATTGATAATGTAAGAGATATTGACAAGCTGGAATGTGTCCAGAGGAGGGCGACTAAAATGATCAAGGGTCTGGAGAACAAGCCCTATGAGGAGTGGCTTAAGGAGCTGGGCATGTTTAGCCTGAAGAAGAGAAGGTTGAGAGGAGATATGATAGCCATGTATAAATATGTGAGAGGAAGCCACAGGGAGGAGGGAGCAAGCTTGTTTTCTGCTTCCCTGGAGACTAGGACGCAATGGAACAATGGCTTCAAACTACAAGAAAGGAGATTCCATCTGAACATGAGGAAGAACTTCCTGACTGTGAGAGCCGTTCAGCAGTGGAACTCTCTGCCCAGAGTGTGGTGGAGGCTCCTTCTTTGGAAGCTTTTAAACAGAGGCTGGATGGCCATCTGTCAGGGGTGATTTGAATGCAATATTCCTGCTTCTTGGCAGGGGGTTGGACTGGATGGCCCATGAGGTCTCTTCCAACTCTTTGATTCTATGATTCTATGATTTAATGAGATAGCTATCGTGGCTTTTTTTAAAAAACATTTTTGTCAATACTTTTTTGAAATCCCTAAAATCAGAAGATGTATGAATATTTTTGAAAGCTGGATGAATGATCCCATTATCTTGTGTCATTGTATAGAAAATTCAAGGAGATAGCTTTTGTAGTTTTTTTTAAAAAGTTGTTAATAAAAACTTTGAAAATCCCCCAAAATTCTGTGGATAAGGAAAACATTCTGACTCTCACTATAGTAATGAAATTTTCACTAATGATACTTTAGAAACACTTTAGAAATGAAATGCTGGCGCACCCTAATTTTGTAATGAGTTTTGAAACATTTTTTCATCAATTACACAACCCTATTATGTATCCCCAAGGGCTAGTACAATCCACTTTTCTGCATTAGGTGTAGGCAAGATGGCATCTCTCTAGTCTTCACCCTACCTAAGACATTCATGTAAAAAAGTTTTCTTGACAGGTAATAAAAATATTATTTCAAAGCATCATGCCCTATTAAATCTAAGGAGAGTTAAGGACATTTATAGCATCTAATAAACATGCATCCAATATTTAGAAAAATTACCTGTTGGACTACAACTTCCCAAATTCCTACATCACTACTAATAAAAATAGGAACTTCTCTAAACCAAGTTAGCTACTTCATTCTGCATAATGGTAAGATTAGTGCTATATGCCTCAAGGCTAGTGCTCCTTATAAAACTATTTTATGCTTACTGACTCCCAGTCTTTCTGAACTCATTCCAACTGTACTGACTTCCAGTATTTCTACACTCATTGTCTCTTGCACAATCTTCTTCTTGATAAAACCTCTGCATCACTTAACGGTTGTGCAGACAGGGAAGTTCCACAAGGCATGAGTTGTTAGATTACTGTAACCGAGAAAAGCACATACGATTGAGTTCTTTGCTTATGCAGTTGTGAAACAAAAAGAATTTTGGCCATTTCATTTCTGTCCAACTTGTTACAAACCCGTGTTTATACGCAATATGCAATGATTGCAGCATCAAAGAATAATTGCAAGCATGGATGAAACTGCAAAACAGAGATTTTATATTAGTTGACATTATTTCAGCAAGACCTAATATTCTTCACTTGCTGCAGTACGTGCATTCAATTTCTCAGTACTTAGTACTCATTTGGTGAGATGTCCAGTTATGTATGATTGGTTTATATGCACTATGTTATGTTCATTCAACATTTCCCAAAGTCACACTAGCATGGAGAATGTCTCCATATACATGCTATCAATTCTCTTTTTGTTGGGTGATTCACTTGAAAAGTGTAAAAGTTAAGAAAACCGTCAGGTGTGTCTTTGGAAATAAATATATGCTCTTGAATCAAACTTTTGGAAACACTTGGTGTGTATAGCAGCAACATAAAACTGATCATATGATCAAAAGGGATAAGAGCTGTGCACAGCCCCTCGGGGTTTGTTACTCTGCAAGTCTACACAGCTCTGACCAGCATATGCAATGATGAAAAAGCATTGGGACTGCAATTCATCATGACTCATTGGAAAAGATGATTATGCTTGACAAAGTAGAAGACAATAGGAAAAGAGGAAACTACACTGAAAGTGAATAGACCTGAAGCTAATGGGTTTGCAAGACTTACAGATGGCAATAGATGTCTCTTGCTCTTGGTGATCTCTTATTCAAGGGTTCAAAGCTGGTGTGAGAGCAAAAAACAAGAATGAAACATATAGATTCCCACCAGATTCTCACCCCTATAAAATTTACCTCAGGTATGTGCCTTCAAATTGCTTGTTACTTATGGCAACTCCCTAACTTGCACAGAGTTTTCTTAGGCAAAGAATATTCAGATATGGTTATGACAGTTCCTTCCTCTGATATAAAGTCTACAGTATCTTGAATTCCTTGGAGGTCTCCTATCTAAGTACTAACCAGGGATGGCCTTGCTTACCTTCCAGGATTAGAAAAGATCTGTTGACTTAGGCATCTCTCCAGATATGTTACTCCTATGGAATTGTGTTAAACCATGATGATGGTGATTGTTCTGGTTCAAGAGCGGGGATAATGGTACCCTCCAGATGTGTGATTACAGTTCTTAGTTGCTCTTGTTAGCATGACCACTTTGAAAAGTTGCAATTTAACAGCATCTGGATGGCCATACAATTCTCATTGCAACAATTCTGAGAAAACAAGGTACTATCTTCCAGCAAATGGCACATTTTAACATGCTCCAGATAACTAGAAAAGCATAGCTTGTTACTGCAAGGGTAGTCTTGTTACTTCTGCTGCTTAGTGTAAATTGAGTAAAGCTAGATGTTTTAATCTACCCTACTCTCCCCTGGAATAACATTATAGGTTGTTGTGAAGGCTTGACAAATGCATGTGGTTTTATGTGTGCTTACCACACAATATTGGGACTGTCTCAATTCAAATTCAGTGGTGGCACTGAACTAGAATTGTGACTCGATTGAATATTGCTGTTGTTCCACCATTCTTCCTTGTGTAATTTTTTTCTGCTGCAGTCCCAATATAACAAAGTGTAGGGTGTTCTTGTAAGAATGCTGCATCTGTGCAACTTTGCAGTTGTGGCAAAATAGGGGGGAGATGAGAAAAAACAGTGCACATTCAGTGGGTAGGGCAAGCATGGGTAGGAAGCAAGGCTAGGCAAAGATTTATTGTGGGAATTTCCACAGTGTCAGAATTATGCCATTGCACCAATATGTGAAAGTGATAATTCCAATAATTGCATGTTTCTGTTTGCTTAAACAATGGGATTGTAACAAGACAGGAGGCTGGTGTGAATAAACTCTATGAGAATCAAATTGACAAACACATCTGGAAGAAACCAGGTTGGGAAGGGTATTACTTGGCAGGTTGACACATTGTCAGCAGAGCTTTGAAAATTTACTTTTTGAACTTTTCAAAGGCATATAGCAACTGCAGCTATACAACCCATGATATAAGTATATGCTCTGGATCCCACTCAGAATTCTTTCCCCTATACAGGATCTCATGGCAGACAGACAGACATTTCTTGTCAGACAGTTCATACAAATATATAATCAAATGTTAGTTCTCAGATTTAAAACAAACCTTTCTTTATTTGAATGTGTAAGGTATTTGAGAGGGAAAAGAATATAAAATATGACAAATACAGACAGCTTTGACTATAACACATCATCTAGTCTTTTAATTATTTTTCCAATTTACTATCTCAGACTTCAATGGAAATATCTCCCAAATATTTTACCCAGATGATAATTAAATATGGAATGAATACAGCTAGTTCTGGTTATCAATGTTCCTGCTACAGCCCGTAATCCAAGTGTACCTGTTCCCACCAGGAGAAAAGGTACAACTGAGCCATATCAACCATCTGCCACACTCAGGCCCCTTCTACACTGCCATATAAAATCCAGATTATCTCCTTAGAACTGGATTATATGGCAGTGTAGTCTCACATAATCCAGTTCAAAGCAGATAATCTGGATTATCTGATTTGATAATCTGGATTATATGACAGCATAAAAAGGGGCCTCAAAGCCTCTGTCATGGACGAGCTGGACTCACTGAACAGCTAGATGTCACAGCAAATATCAGTGGCCCCTGCTTTATAGTTTCCACCCATAAGTCTTCTATCAATGCAATAAGACACATCAGAGACTATGAGAGAAACTATTACATTTAACATAAAACAAGAAAAGAAACAGTTTTGGACTGGGTGGTTCACTTCATGTTCTTCTCAATCCAGTCTTTGAAAGGAATTGCCTTGGTGTAACCAGTGTAGAGTTCTAGACTACATGTTTTATCATAGCCCCAGCTCACTAACCCCATGAGGTGCCAGGTTAACTCAGGAGATGATCTTCCAGGCAAAGGTATTGCTGCGATCCCTCCAGTCTCGGCAGGGCAGATATTGGAAAATGCAGTAGGGTGCTGCTTGGCACAAAACATGCTATCAGTCACGCTGACCTGGATACCATTTTCCTCATATTGCTGCTCACACAACAAGGAGTCGATTATCTGAACACTCCCCGTACGGATTGTGTCATTCTTGTAGCTTGGATCGGCAATGTCTGCTAGGATCTTCCAACCAGTAATCACTATTTGTAAGTCATCAGCAGGTGGGTCAATATCGCGCATCGAGGCCAAGCATATGGGTTGGACGCGATTGCTGATTCTGGCCTTGTCCAGGAGTTTAACGATGGCTATGTCGGAATCAAGCAATATGGGGTCATAATTTGGGTGCACTATAATGGCTGATATCTAGGAAAGGATACAGAAAGAACAGAGGACCAAATGTTAGGATTCCATTATCAAAATGTTTTAGTGACTACCACATTATCAGTTTAATGCTGGTATGAAATATAAAACTAAGGAAATGCCAAGGTATTTCAAAGAATCACTGGGAGGTAGCTCTGATTCTCTGCCACTTAAGATCTAATGGTAGATGACAATACTGGAGAGGAAACAAAATGACCACTCATCTATCAATACTTTATTCATCAGTGGAAATTAATGGACACAGGATGGCATAGAAGAGCCAAATATTTTCATTCAAACCCCAATGCTGGAAGATAAAGTTATTTAAACTGAAAAAAGAGTATATATTTTATATAGTACAACCCCCCATATTTGTGAATGACTATGCGACACTGTGTATAATAGGGAACCCCCTTATTTTCAATGGAAAGAATGAGAGAGCTGTAGGGAAGAGAGTGTAAATTGTACAGGAGGCATTAAGTGAATAAGTGAAACCATGAGTAAGTGAAACTGCATATACTGGTTCCATGGATTTGGAGAATCACACTGTACTTGGACCAGTTTTTATGTTTATAATTTATCAGAGACTTATAGGGTAGTTGGTACCACAGTGTACTCAAAGGGGAAAATATACAGTCTAGGTCAGTAATGGGAAATAAGTGGAAATACTGTAAACTCCAGAACATTCTAGTCTCCAAACTATAAGAAAACTTGATGGAGTCAAGTGCTATCAGCTGGTGTTTTCAAACACTTTTTGAAAAATGTGTCTAGTTTTTCCTCTCCTGCCCATTCCTGGTGTAGGATGGAGAAGAGGAACAAAGCCAGGAAGGGAATCCCTGGACACGGCCTGTGAGGACATTGGCCGATAGACTTCCCTTCTGCAGCCCAGAAGTTCTTGTAGCCTGTATTAGAGGATAATTTGGGAAATTTCAGCAGACTATAAACATTCTTTTAACTACTGGAAAATGAATGTGAGAATTTTGTAAGGCTGTAAGATCCTAATGTTTATTTATTCATTTACTTACAATATTTCTATCTCGCCTTTCTCAAACCCGAAGGTGACTCAAGGCAGCTTACAACCCAGCAGCCATTTGATAACATAACAATATACAATTAAAACATTTAAAACAAATTTGTAAAATACATACAACAAAACCTTTGCAGGAATGAAAGTCTACAGGTAAGGAATGTAAATCCCCATTTGATGAAAAACAACAGAATATTTATCAAGATGGTGAGATATTTTGTACTCATTTAATTGACTTGCTTTCACAGGTTTCAAGAATATTTTGGTGCAGCCAAAATAGCTGCAGCTATCTTGGTGGGATGATGTCAGAATTGAAATGTAATAATAGAGGACTATACACTATTTCAGAGAAGTAGTCCAAAAGAATGAGTAGCAGAATTATGTGTCAGGGATGTTTATACATATGAAGAGATTCATAACTTAAATCTTGGAAGCCAGATTGTGAATATCTGAGTAAAAAGCATCCATTTATTTTATTTTAGGGCTCAGTATCCATCTGTATATAGGCATAGTGTCAAAGTGACTCAATGCTCTACTCACCCGTAAATTCTGCACAGTCTTTTCATCTCTATCATCATCTCTGTAGTGTTTGCCAAGAACAACTCTGATGTCTGCTGTTTTAAGAACTGTAATCTTTCCCAAATTGGTGACACAATGAGCTGCCACAACCACTGTGCGTTCATTCAGCAGGGCCCCGCTGCAAATCAGTATCCATGCACCCTTTCTATGAGTGGGAGCCTTCACTCCATTGGGTCTCCTATAGATGGCTGCTTGCCAAGGCCACCTGGTTGTGGATGGTTTTTGAAGAGTGATGTTTTCTGTCTTTCCACAGACTGGACCAAATCAAAATGAAAACAAGGAAATCAAACTTCTTTTATCTTTCAAACTATCTGGGTCCAAATTATAATTTTATTTGGCACCAAAGAGAACAGAAGATAATTATACCAAATAATCTGATCACATTCATATACCAAATAATCTGATCACATCAGTAATTGATCACATTCTAAACTTCCTAAAACTACATAATTGTTGAGACAAAACAGATCTGTGGCTATACCCCCTTTAAGATACATACTTTTTAATGCAGTTTCAAACCAGTAATGAAGAAAGTGGTTTCGCAGTACAGATGATTGCCCAGGAAGTTCAGGAACAAGTCTAAGATCTGGATGATGTTTACGCAAATCATAGAGCACTAATTAAGGGCTTTGTTTTGTGCACTTTTCATGGGAGTTTTAAGTCTAGCCAATGCAGTTTGAAACTAGCTTCAACTGCATTAAATGGTCAGTGTAGATGGGGCCTTAATCCCAACTGAATAGATACATTGAGAGGATACATATATATCTCTGTGTGTGTGTGGTCAGGAGCAACTTGAGAAACTGCAAGTCGCTTCTGGTGTGAAAGAATTGGCCATCTGCAAGGACATTTCCCAGGGGAACAGCCACCTACAAACCCACAAGAATAGTAATCAAGGAAGACCATCTTACTCATCCAACGAGGGATCGCCTAAGTAAGTCAGTCCCAGGGGACTCTGGGATGTTTTCTCTCATGTACCCACATGAGAAGCTAAAACTGACAGATGGGCGCTCACCCCCCTCCCTGGATTCGAACCTCCAACCTTTCAGTCAGCAGTCCTGCCGGCACAAGGATTTAATCCATTGCGCCACTGAATATAACCCACTGAATATAACCCATTGCATATATGGAACTTCTACATAAGTGTTTAACCAACCAAGTGTTGGCTTGGCCCTGTAATTGTGAGACTTCATTCCAGGCTTAAACTGAAAAGCAGCTTGACTAGGCTTGGAAGCTGCTGTGCCAGCTTAGGGCTTGGTGAAGGTGTCAGGATAAACTCTGGAATTGCATCCTAAGAATGTGACAAACTGTATATGAAAACTTAGAAGATGACAGATTAACAGCTATACTTTCAGTGCTGCTGCCTACCTGTACCCCAAATGAACAATATGAATGAAATCAAACTGGCTTACTTCACAAAGCCGTTATAGGGATGATGGAATTAATGTCTAGGAATGACTCTGAACACTTCAAGTGAATTATATAAATAAGAATTGTTATGAGCCATATGAATATGAGATATGTATATAGCTAACAAGATGCCATGACTAAGATGTCTAAAGCATATTAATAAAAAGTTGTTATTCCTGATACTATTTTTGTAATTTTGCAAGGTGCTGTGCCATGCTTCATAACCTGTCTTACTTGGAATGCAAGAAGGAGCTCTCCCACTCCATTTCCCTGTTTTCAGGCATGTTCTTCGGCTGCTTCCCAGGCGGCGGTAGAAAGGAGAAATGCAGTCGTACTGAAGCTGCGTGTGAAGATGTTGGAAACCTGGAGGAAGTTCTCCAAATGGCAATAATGGTTTTTTGGTTGGATATGCTTCCAGCTTCTGCTTGTTATATGCAGATGAATAGAGCCGATGCAAAGGAGTCTCTCTGTGTTGATGCACAAAGAAAATGAGAAAAAGGTTAGTCTCAACATTTGCTGAAGTTAGGGGCACAGGAGCCCCACAGAATCAGATAAAATGCTAATTTAAAAGGCGCTGTTTTTTTAAAACCTGAGATAAATTTTAAAAAAAATTCCAAAAATTTATTTTTTTAAAAAAATTAATTTTTTAAAAAATCTCCCGCCAGAACTCTATGGCCAACCAATAGCAAAGGCTGACCATAGTAATGCACTGGAGGATGAAGAAATTCCTAGCAGGATGTTCTCTCAAGGAATCCCTGCATCCTCCAGTGTGACTCTATAGTGGAAGTTGACCACCATTTTCTCTCTAGGACTAGAGATTCCTAGAGGAAAATTTTTAACTCAACCCACAAAGAAACAAACCTGAAAAAGTTGATCCCACAAATGTAAAGGGATGACTAAAAGCCCAAACCTTGACATTACTATATTATAATCAGTAGCTGTATCCAGCAATCTTAACAATGTAAATAATACTCAAATGTTTCCTCATGTTCAGCAAAATGGATATTCCATTAAGAAAATGATCAGCAATCATTTTTTTAAAAATAGAACTTTTTTGCAACAACAATATTTGTACAAAAACCCTTGTTTTTATTTGAAATTTAACATTAGAGGCAGAAAAGAGTTCCTGAAAAAAGTTACTTTAGAACATTAACTCCCAGAATCTTTGAGTAGGCTGCTGGGGGATTTGGGGAATTGCAGTCAAAACAGTACCTTTTCCAGGCTCTGGATTTGAGCACACCTTACAATTCCTATTTGGAGCAAACTGATATAAATTTATTAGGCTGTATCTTCAGGTTACATATTTATATAAGGCTTAAGATTTTCCCTTTCCTATTATACAATAAAAGTCCACAGCAATATGCTGGTGACACTCAACATCATTTCTCCTTTTCATCAAAGTCTGAGAAAACTGTATTAGTTTGCTGTCAATAATGGACTGGATAAGGGTGAAAAACTGAACACTTAATTCACATGACACAGGAGTGATCCTGTCAATTAAAGGAAGATAAGGGAATAGAGATTCAGCCTATTGTGGGGGTGGGGGGGGGGTGGGATTATACTCTCTCAAAAATCTCAGGTTCATTGCATGTATACACCTCTGGATTCAGCCCTGAGCCTAATGTCCACGTTTTTCTCATGCCCAGGAATACATCTGAGCAGTTAAAGCTAGTGTGCCAACTGTGTCCATGCCTGAAAATATCAGATCTGACTCTAGTATCATGTGCTTTCATTACATCTGGATTATTGCAATGCTCTTTATGTGCTGCTGGCTTTGCAGAACTTTAGTGAAAATTCCAGAATTAAAATGGGAGCCTAGGAAAAACATGCCTGGCTATTTCCTATAGCATCAACTTTTCAACTCTGCCAATTTGATGAATTGATGGTTCAATTCATCAAAACATCAAGGACATTTACAAAGAAAAATGCATTTTTTTAATTCTAAGGTTGCTGGGAATTTTGCTCCTTGTGTTATGCTAATTTTTGTTCTTTTTTAAATCTTTGGCAGCGGGGATGGAGGTGGGGTGGAAAATCAATTAATAAATAACAATGTTACTATACACTGCTTAAGATATGTGCTTGTTTGTTCTAAGTTACTCAAATAGCTTCATGTTATAAAATAGTATTGAAATGTCATAAACAAGTATCTTAAGAGCTGTCTGGAGGTTCACATTCTCACATATGAGCACTTCAGATATTTTGGGAAAGTCTCTCTCCTGGCAGGCTTGTCTGGTTAAGGATGTAGGACATGGCTTTCTTGGTGGCTGCTCCCAGGTCTTAATTCTTCCTTTCTAGCAAAGCTGGTTCCTTCCTTACTGTCCTTCTCTTTAACAGTGTACAATACTATTTTTATTTCTTGCCAGTTTAAGGAATACAGTGTGCCGTTTGGTATTGGCTGAATTTTTTTTATAGGACACTGCATAGATATCAAAATCCAGGGATGCTTAAGATCCGCTAAATACAACAGTGTAGTAAGATAGCATCCTTTACATTAGTAATTCCCAACCTGTGGTCCGCAAGAACTAAAATATGGTCTGCGGATTCACAATTACTACACCATTGCAATGAGAGCGACTGGTCTCATGAAACCCTCTTATAGTGCTAAGGCTTATTAAATATGGTTTACTGTGGGTAAGCAGATGGCGACTACTGGATGGCATGTGTTCTGTATCAGAAACTAGAGCTGATGTAGTCTATCCAATGCAATTTTCTGAATCAGAACCCCAAATAACCAAAATGAATCTAAAGTTGACTAATAACTGATTTGTAACCCTTTTGATACTAATGTTGAAGAGTGGTCCCTGGTCAAGTGGTCCCTGGTGAAAAAAAAAAGATTTATTTATTTATTTATTTGCCATATTTATATACCGCCCCTCTCAGACTGGAGGCGACTCGAGGTGGTTTACATAAACAGTCCATGCCCCCAAACAACATAAATACAGTTAAAAACATTACATATAATATAAACCATATAAAAGCAATAAAACAATAAAAACCATAAAACACAAGTCCTACCACTGTCTTACATAAATTAGCGAATAAATGAGTGTCAGAGAGAGCTTGGGGATCTGCAAAATGGCAGGGGGCCATGATATGCCTAAACATTGGCATAGTGTTTGGCATATGGCAAAATCAAGGACTGCTGTTCTGGATTTTTCCCCATATATTTTTGAGCCATGGCTGGTTGAATCTATAGATGGATATGGAGGACCCACTGTATATTTTAAAAATGTAACACTATAGAACATTTTATTTTGTTTTAGCATTAATTTCGGTATGTTTTTACTAAAGTATTATTACCTATCTTTGTTTTAATATTTGTATGCTATCTTGAGTCGCAGCTCTGTGGAAAAGACAGGATTAAGAGAGAAAAAGATCTGTGTCTTTAGGGGAAAGTGCACTGGGAATTTGTGGGTTTATACATCTGGATAAGCACCAAGGGATGATCTTGCCCATGGGATCAGATTAAAAAGATGGAATGAAAGCTCCTTCTCTCCAGTCAGATGTTGCAATTAATTACATTATATATGCCTCAAAACTCATTACAGGGCCATGGAGAATTTTCTGGAATCAAACTTAATTTAGCCACTCCTGTAACACTAGCGTTTGGACTCTACTTTAGAATGGGAGTGTGGACTTCAGAGATTAAGTTTCAATTTCACATATTCAGTTTCAATGGTGGGTGGTGCCAAGGATGAATGTGTGAGATCAAAAATACTGTATTCATTTAAAGCTCTCATTGCTAGTACCTAAGGCAGGGGCCCCCAAACTAAGGCCCGGGGGCCAGATACAGCCCTCCAAGGTCATTTACCCGGCCCTCGTTCATGGTCAACCTAAGTCTGAAATGACTTGAAAGCATACAACAACAACAATCCTATCTCATCAGCCAAAAGCAGACCCACACTTCCCACTGAAATACTAAGTTTATACGTGTTAAAATTGTTCTTCATTTTAATTATTGTATTGTTTTAAAGTGTTTTTGCATGACAAATAAGATATGTGCAGTGTGCATAGGAATTCATTCATATATATTTTTTCAAATTATAATCTGGCCCTCCAACAGTTTGAGGGACCGTGACCTGGCCCTCTGTTTAAAAGGTTTGAGGACCCCTGACCTAAGGACCCCGGACCATAATTTCAACCTTTATGTATTTGCAGAAAACTGTACAAAAGCTGGGGAAACACATTAGAATAATATTATAAGGTCCTTGGGTCAGAATAGGAGCCCTGGAGGAGAAGATCTGCCTTAACCCTCACTTCCCTGCTTTAAGACCCTTCTTCTCTCCTTTTCATCTATTCCATTTTCCTCATTCAGGTTGTAACAGAAGTTTCAGAATTAGAGCACTTTTAGCTGCTATTTTAGTTGCCAGGATCCTACAGCATTCTGGTCTTTGTCAAAAGGAACAAGAGCTTTCTGGCTGAGAATGCTAAATTCTCCTGTTTACCTCCCTGCAAATCCCAGATTCCATACTGGTATCAAGGCAGTTAAAATGTGTAATATGAAAGAGCCCTGGGACATTATTATTAAAATATTTGCTTGTCTGATCCACCTCTGTCTCTTGTTCATGCCATCAGTTTCAATGTCTATGCCCAATCTATCCAACCACCTTTCTAGAACATCAGAGTAGCTCACAAAAATGCCTAATCAGGTTAAGATACAGAGAGAAAAGCAACAACATTTCTCATTAACATTGTAGTTAAGGCATTGCAATCTCACCTTGATTGAACCTGCATTGGTAGAACTTTCTGTCTCACCAGGTCAGAGATCTTTGGCTCTCTGCAAGCTAGAAAAAATACAGTATTGCACAATCCTTTTCCATGTTCAAATATTATGATTTACATCTCTGTCCACCTCTCGAAACTGTGACTCAAATGAGGGCAAACAGTACACTTAGACTGCATTCTGGAGAAGCGTGATTCCCATCAACTCTAGTCACATCTATGGTGAGAGAATATGGGAGTGGTAGTTCAGCAATATCTGGAGATGCAAAGTTGTAAATCCCTACTAAACACACTGATCTAAATATGTCTTTCGACAATAGCTAATCCCAGAGTAGATCCACTCAATCTGCAGGATTGATTTACCAGTCAGCAATTCATTCACTCATCACTGAGTGTTGGACTAGGACTTTTATGAGACCAGGGTTTGAATCCTTTTTGGCCAGGAAAACTCACTGGGTTTCATTGGGCAAATCTTAGAGGTTTTGGAAGACAATGGTAAATTTCTTCTGAATAAATTTTGCCAAGATGGGCTCATCCTAAATTGGAGTTGACGTGAAAGCACAAAACAACAATTAATACAGCGAGTCTATTCCAGAGGAGTATTATTGACTGGGTTTAGGCTTTATGTCTGAGTAAGTATGTATAGGTTTGGAGTGACAGAAACCTGGCAGAATGACAGGGTAAGTTTGAAGGAAATCAAGGGAGAGTTTATAAGCACAAGAGCTGATGCCATAAGACATGGAATGAAGCAAATACTCAAATGATGGTGAAGACTGAGCAGGAAGTTATTATAGCTCTACTAAGTCAAAAAGACATCACAGACTGTGATTCTAGGTGGATTACCTCTTGAAACAATAAAACAGACATGCTGTTTCAAGTCTGGGCATACATTTCTTGTAAAAATTAGGTTTGGGCATTTTATTCTGGGTCTCTAATGGCTGTAAAACCTACAAATATACAACTACTGCAATGATAACTGATACCTTTTCACAGATAAATAATAGCAAATCTTTCTACCTCTATATCAGAAGTCAACCACATACAGGCAGCCCCAAGTTACAAACAAGATAGGTTTTGTAGGTTTGTTTTTAAGTTGAATTTGCATGCAAGTGGGATCAGGTACATTTTTAAGTGTAACTCCAGCCAAAAAACCCCCCAAATTTTGGATAGCATAGGGAATGGTTAACACCCCTGGCATGTTTGTTTTGCTGTCTGAGCCACTGTTCAGAAGATTTCACCTCTCTGTCCCCATGATAAGATTTTGAAAAAAATGGCTTTTTGTGGAAACAAGGATTGGTGAGAAAGCTTCAGTTGAGACATATTCCCTTCCTAGGAGTAGATTTCTCTCAATTCCTCTTGTCTCACCCACGTTCTTAACTATGAGTTGTTTGAAACTATGAGTAGGATAGTTTGTAACTCGGGGACTGCCTGTACTTGTGTTTATGTTTGTTTATTAGGAAAGAGCTTGTATTCCCATAAACAAGCTATTAAACAAAGCCAGTGTTTACAGGTTGTAAAAAGAGAGAGTACTGAAATTACCTTTTATGCAGATTGGCTGTTTCCCTGACCATTCCCCATTATCTTGGCAGATCCTCTGCTCACTGCCACTGAGAATATAAGAATTATTGCAAAAGAAGTTGATGACTGTTCCAATTCTTGCATAGCGACCATTGAGAAGTACAGTATCTTCCATCATTTTCCTGAACCCATTGAGTGGAGCACCAGGATCTGAACAGTTTCTGTCTTCAATGGCTAATGGGAGAAGAAGCATGTTATTTTTTCCTAATATTATATCAAATAATAAGACACTAACTTGAATAGCCAGTCATATGGCTATTTATACATTCCTGGAACACTACCAAATATAATAAAAATGTTTTACAGCAATTAAAGAAGTAAATACCCCAACTTTGGACACCTAAAGCTACACAAATAAACACATTAAATAATTTCTTCAACAAGTAAAAGGAAGTTACTTTGAAAAGTAATGTTGTAAGAAATTTATTTATAAATCAAAATATCTTATTGTTGAAATGTAGAAAATATTTTTGTCCATCCCAAAAAAACATACATTTTGAGACAAAATTTTCATTTTACCGGTAGACATCTCTGTCCCCATGATAAGATTTTGAAAAAAATGGCTTTTTGTGGAAACAAGAATTGGTGAGAAAGCTTCAGTTTTGTTGTCAAAGGCTTTCATGGACGGAATCACTTGGTTGCTATGAGTTTTCCAGACTGTATGGCCATGTTGCAAAAGCATTCTCTCCTGATGTTTTGCTTACCAAAGATGTGGGAAAAACATCAGGAGAGAATGCTTCTGGAACAGGGCCATACAGCCCGGAAAACCCACAGCAACCCAATCATTAGTGTTCACTTTCACCAAAAATGCTGAAGCCAATGCAGAAAAGGAAAGGGGAAATAACTGAAATCTGTACTGAAATCTTTATAATAGCATACATCCCAATGTGCTCAACTATTCATGGAAGAAGTCTTTCTGTCAATGAAACAATGGCCAAGAGTGTCTTCAAGTCAGTGGGACAATAAAAATATTACCCAAAGTACAGGCGCCTATTCCTAAAATTGATAGCCCCTTTGAAATGTGGATAATAACCATAATGGATTCATTGGCCCACAGGCATGGAAGCTACCTTCTGTCACTGAATGCAAGGGCATTCTGATCCAGTGGTTTCACAGATGAAGCAAGTCATGCAAGCACCAACTAATACAATGATTTCTGATTTCCCTTTTTCTTTCCTCATTTGCTACTTCTCATGTAATGATGGCTCCTTCAATTTTCTGAAGAAGATTTATGGGTGAGCTGCGGGGTGTCAAGTGCAATCAATAGCAACAACATCCTCTGCATCAATTAATGGATGCTTCCCATGAGTGAAACTCTTAAGTGCTTTGGATCCATACAAACTCTGCTTCTCTAACAGCTCTATGTTACACAGTTTTTTGAAGCAGAAAAGAAAAAGAAATGCTGGGCAGTTAAGAGAATATAAAACATCTCAACAGTTGCCAACAATTAATTTACACTACAGGAAGGCAACAGCAAATGATGCCGAGGTCAGTATTCCCACTCCGCCAGGACTCGGTTGGACCACATTGACCCAGAATTCTAAAAAACAGCCCAAATTGGTTGAAAATTATAACTGGAAGAGACCAGAATATACTTCTTGTTGGAATCTGGTGGTCTGAACTCTAGAAGATGTGAAGCTGGGGAGGGGTGTGGTAAATCTGAAGTCTTCTCTGATTGTTGACACCATTGTGGAGTCTTTTTGCGCAAACTTTTTGTTTTGGAGTGGGAGACTGAAACACTGTTTTTAGAGGGTGCTCAATTGGTGAAAGATTTTGACAATTCTGCCACTTTTCTACTTTTAAGTAATCAAACCCACAGAAAATGTAATACGTTAGTAACACATTAGTTAGTATGACCCCTATATCTGTGGGGATGTGTTCCTGAATGTACCATGGGAACAAGAAAGTGGATAATAACAAACTGTATTGGAATTAATGACATCTGCTGGAAATTGCCATAGAGTTGTGCTGGAGGACCTAAAATATTCCTGGAGAGGTATTCCCTTTAGTAATTTCCTAGGTCCTCCAACACAGCTCTATGGTAACCTGTGGTGGAAGCATACCATAGAATCACATGGACCTAGAAAATTTCTAGAAAAGACATTTTCTGTTGGATCCTGAGGAGCCATACCAAGTAACATGTAAGTAATAAAATCAGAAAATTGTTATTTTTATTATCTCAGTTTCACAGTTTACCAGCAACAGACAGGGTTTTCAACCATCAGCAATTTGGAATCTATTAAAAATACATGAATCAGTGAGACACCCTTGTATAATGTAGTATATTCCAAATAATGCCATTTTCAAAAACTTTGCTTTTTTGGTTTGAACATTTCATCCATCTCTTTGGAATTGCTTCCAGAGCATCATCTCCACTGCAACAACACACCACTATCTCAATTCACATTTTTTCCATCAGAAAACTTAAGGTGAATACAAAAATATTACTGAAAATTGCTTGCAATATGTGTGTGACTCAGATCTCAGTATTCAAAAAGGCATCAATCCAATACAGATTGCAAAAAACGAAACAAAAAAAACAATAATATATAAAGGTAGTGAAACAAGAAGAAACATAAAACATTCTTACCACATCCAGGATGGTGTGTTGACCAGCTCCCATTCAGCTGACAGTAGGCAACCCGGCTGCCTTTTAAGGTGTAGCCTGCATTGCATTTGAAGTAAACGTGGGCCCCGTATTTAAAGTCATCTCCTTCCACAAAACCATGAGCAGGAGCACCTGGAGTCCTACACATCACCACTGACAGTTCAGATATTTCAAAGAAATCCACTTTATTACAAAAACAGGACTTTTTAGGTTGCTTCTCTATTTAGAATGTAATAAAATACTAAGAAAGAAGAGTTACAAGAGACAATGAATTAAAATAATTTTTCATCTTATTCATTATTCAATTTACTTTTTTATTAACACAAAATTTTCTTGCTTGTTTTTTCAAAAAAAAGTTTAACTCTGGGTGACCAAATGCTTATTCCTTTTTCATTTTAAATATGAGTTCTTAGTTAATTGGATTAGTCACTTGCTTGAAAACGGTATAACAGGAGTACTAAATCCTTTAATTTCCCTTATCCGTGAAGGGTGTGTTACAAGGCTCCATGTGGATGCCTGAAATGCAGATAGTATTGATCCCTATTCCAGTAATATTTTTGGATCAAGGTTGACCATGGATAACTGAAATCATGGAAAGCAAACCCATAGATGCCAGGGGAGGGGGAGGACTACTGTAATCCATATTCTTACTGAAAAAAAGATAAGAAATTACTCCTTGACTCACATTGCAAGTTTTTTTTAATCCTAATATCTGAAGCTAAAAATACCTCTATGTTTCCACATAGGACAATTCACAAAAAAACTGCAAACACTACCCACTCCCACATGCATAGATCAGAAACACATATATAAAGAATCACTATTTGGGTCATTCTAAGAAAAATGCAGGTATATTGTTTAAAAGGAAGTGAGATTCCAGGGTGTACTTTATTCTATCACAGTGCTGCAAAAGTTCTTTCTTCCTATCTCTTCTAATGTCTCTAAGCACCTGCTGACTTCCTTCCTGTGTTTTTGTGCTTCATTTTTCTTATTTTTGGAACCATGGCTTAATTTTATCATGTTCCAACATTCTTCCAAAAATAGTTTGTGTTAAATGGTTAACTGGAATCTTTTCCTCCTGTCTAGGTGATGAATTCAATTATGGACCAGCACAAAGTAGCAATTTTAATAGTCCTAAATAGTTTCCTGTTCCAGCTCATTTTCGGCCTTGGCACTCGAGGCTAAGTATCCATTACTGTGCAAAACTTTGATCACAATGATGAAGTTTTTATGTCATTTCTTTGGGTCATTTCACTGCTGAAATGAATGGAACAATTAATTAAGGATTCACAACTGACAAGGTACCGTATATATTCAACTATAAGCCGACCCACATATAAGCCGAGGCACCTAATTTTACCACCAAAAACTGGGAAAACTTATTGACTTGAGTATAAACTGAGAGTGGGAAATGCAGCAGCTACTGGTAAATTTCAAAATAAAAATAAATACCAATAAAATTACATTAATTGAGGTATCAGTAAGTTAATTGTTTTTGAATATTTACATAAAATTGTAATTTACGATAAGATTGTCCAACTCATTATTCTAACTTCTTCAATGTAACTATGCTTATGTATCCTTTCAATAATCACCATAGTTTATTTTAACTATACATTTTGTGGGAAATGCTGTGTATATATGAATAAAGAAACGTGGGAAAGACTGGCACTGAGAGGGGAGGAGAGGAAGGTGAATGCTGTGCTGACAGAGGAGAGGAAGGCACGCACTGCACAAGAAAAGAGGATAGGAAGGTGCTCACTGCACGAGAAAGGAGATAAAGGTGAGATAGGCTGCTGTGCAGATAGGTGAGGCTCTGCCAGGACCCTTACCTGAGTATAAGCCAAGAGGGGATTTTTTTAGCCTAAAAAAAACTAGGCTTATACAAAAGCCAGGAGCCAGTTCTACAGCCTTCTTCAGTGTAGTAACATTCTCCATTTTTTAAAAAACGTTAACAAAAATACGTCACTAATATTTTTGCACTATTTGTGTATTCTTCTGTGACAGCCAGAAGCAGGCTTATGATGAATTGCCCCAACGTGGTGGGATTTTTTTCCAAGTTTTTCTAAGTGTTGCGGAGTGTGAGGGACCAGAAAAGTGGGGGTTCGGGGACTGCTTTCACCTATGAGCCAGACTTTCCCCGCTTCTGTGTTTTACTTTTATTATGTTGGTTTTTCTTGATATAAACTGCCCAATGCATTAGATAAAGTCCACATAAGCAATTCATTTGTTGTCTTTAAAATACCACCAAACTCTTCCTTGTTTCCTTGCAATGGGAAATCTCCTCTGAAGACATTTTACCAAGGAAGCCCTTTGATGTGAGGTATGGGTTTACCAAGGAAGCCCATACCTCAGAGTTGACATAAAAACATATGTAAAAAAACTAAGGGGCTGACAATTGCATCATTCCATGGGATAAATATGCACCTGTCATTTCCAAGTTACCTGCAGGCGGAGCAATATAGTCAGACAGCAGTATAGGAGGAGAGGCAGCCTTGCCAAGCTACCTGATTAAAAAAGTAAAGGCTTAGAGCTTCTTTTCACTTGGAGAAATCGGGCCAATGAAAGCTGTCCTACAATCCATTTTATGCCGCTTCCTTTTCCTGGAGCATTTCACAAAATATCTCTATAGTCTATTTCTTTTCTTTTACCCAATTTTTGCTTCAAGCAGGAAGAGCTGTGAAGGTGGTTTTGAAATGAATGTTAGTACCTTGTGTGCTTTGTCGGAATGCTTCCTTTCATTTTGGAAATAGTTGCCAGTCAGGTGGATGAACCTGACTGATTCTTTTCCCCTTCAGTTTCTACAGTACATTCAACAGAATTCTAGCCTAGGAGAGGCTCTTTTATCAGATATATTTTTAAAAAGCCTTTCAACATCCTCCCCTGCCTATTTCACCTTTGCAGCAGTCTTTGACACTCTGTCCTGAGACAAGGTTCGGAGAAAGAGAGAAATGAAACATTTTGTATAGACCTGGATGTGTGACATACATACACTAACAAAAGGAGTCATACTTACATCGCATTCAAATAAAACTCTGGGCTGACAACAATGGAAATGTGACCTGCATAGGTGACATCTTATCCCACACAGCCAAAAAGATTTACCAGTGTGTCATCATTTCTTAGAAAAGAAAGAAAAGAGAAATGCAAGGACACAGTCTGTCTGACATTTAAACCTCCATGTCCTGCTCTTTCTTTCCCTCCCACAAGGGCTTTCTCCGACCTCTGAAAAGGAAGAGATGTGTTCAATAAAGGACTGTCAGACACAGCAAATAACCAATACTGGTTTCATTATGCAAAAGGGGAATCTTGGTCCTGGGGAGCTTGGGACTGGGGGGAAATTGGAGAATTCATAGACTGATCCCAAGATGTGGTTTCTTATATGATGAGAAGATGGGCTAAGGCTGTTCATCAGCCAGACATAGATGACAAACTTTTTTGGGCTTGAACAGTTGACATGACCCACCTTTCCCACCATGTTACAAATTCTTTGGCTGCTCAAACCCTTGGAGGCATGAAAGATTTTTTTTCAGTATTAACTGAACCAATAAAGATGGTTAGCATATTTTTCATCTTCTTTAGCTCACCACGAGCTTTACTCTGTTGTTCTTGGGCTCAACATGTAAAGGATGGATCAGGCTGTACAGGAGGCTTTAATAATGCCTATGCAGAAGTATAATGAGTATGAGTACAATTTACAAATGAATAGATTGGGAGGCTATCTGAGGTCGCCAACTCAGTGGACAAAACTCTACTTGGTGCAACGCAGAGGACCAGGGGTGGTATTTATGAGAGTTTCAAAACAACAAAATGTTATCTACCCTTGGCATTAATGCATTAATGCCTTCTTACTTAGGCGATCCCTCGTTGGACGAGTAAGATGGTCTTCCATTATGGATTTCCTTGTGGGTCCGTATGTGGCTGTGGAGCCCTATTCTTGCTCTGCATCTTCTTCCGCAGTGAGGGCATTGGTTTCCAGGTGGAAGGCGGTCCCGGTCGGGGTTGGCTTGACGCGCCTTCCTCCTGGCACGTTTCTCTCTTTCACCCTCCACTCGTGCCTCCTCAAATTCTGCAGCACTGCTGGTCACAGCTGTCCTCCAGCTGGAGCGCTCAAGGTCCAGGGCTTCCCAGTTCTCAGTGTCTATGCCAGAGTTTTTAAGGTTGGCTTTGAGCCCATCTTTAAATCTCTTTTCCTGTCCACCAACGTTCCGTTTTCCGTTCTTAAGTTCGGAGTAGAGCAACTGCTTTGGGAGACGGTGGTCAGGCATCCGGACAATGTGGCCGGCCCAGCGGAGTTGATGTTGGAGGACCATCGCTTCAATGCTGGTGGTCTTTGCTTCTTCCAGCACACTGACGTTTGTCCGCTTGTCTCCCCAGGAGATTTGCAGGATTTTCCGGAGGCAGCGCTGATGGAAACGTTCCAGGAGCTGCATGTGACGTCTGTAGACAGTCCACGTCTCACAGGCATATAGCAGGGTTGGGAGGACAATAGCTTTATAAACAAGCACCTTGGTATCCCTACGGATGTCCCGGTCCTCAAACACTCTCTGCTTCATTCTGGAAAATGCTGCACTTGCAGAGCTCAGGCGGTGTTGTATTTCGGCGTCGATGTTGACTTTGGTGGAGAGGTGGCTGCCAAGGTAGCGGAAATGGTCCACATTTTCTAATGTGACACCATTAAGCTGTATCTCTGGCATTGGAGAGGGATTGGCTGGCGACTGCTGGAACAGCACCTTGGTTTTCTCAATGTTCAGTGACAGGCCGAGCTTCTCATATGCTTCTGCGAAGGTGTTTAGAGTGGCTTGTAGATCTTCTTCTGAATGCGCACAGACGACATTGTCATCAGCATACTGGAGTTCTATAACAGCTGTTGTTGTAACCTTGGTTTTGGCTTTCAGTCTGCTGAGGTTAAATAGCTTGCCATCTGTCCGATAGATGATTTCCACTCCGGTGGGAAGCTTCCCATCAACAAGGTGAAGTATCATAGCGATGAAGATGGAGAATAAGTGGGGCAATAACACATCCCTGTTTGACACCTGATTCCACCTTAAATGGGTCACTTTGGGAGCCACTGTTGTCCAAGACTGTTGCCATCATGTCATCATGGAGGAGCCGCAGGATGTTCACAAATTTGTCAGGGCACCCGATTTTGT